GGTTTAGCCAAGGTCTGGGGATGGGGATTCATGACTGAAGACCAGGAACAAAGACGTAGCCATCAAAAATAAAAATTAGGCTGTGATATACACTACTCAGTTTGCTATTGTGTGTATTGGGCATTGTGCACCTTTTGGGATTGTATCCACAAGCACATGTTTCAAATCTCATGACTAATGAGTTAAACATGGCTCATGTTGTCTGTCCATTACCTGCCTCCTGAATGCTAATAAGGCCTGGTCTTCAAAATTACCTGGACTTCTATCAGACTATCAAGTGGCTAATGGAAACAACTTGACAGCTGAACATCCAGCATTTGTGCTCCAGGAAAAACTACTCCAACCTTTATATAAACAGGAAATTAGTGATGCAAGCAATAAAAGGTATAGCAGTAACATGCTGCAGAGGAGTTTTTGTTTATTCATTCACTGGATGAGAGCATCGCTGACAAGGCAGCATTTATTGCCCATCCCTAATTGCCCAGAGAGTAGTTCAGAGTCAACCACATTGCTGTGGTTCTGGAGTCACATGTAGGTCAGACCAGATGAGGATGGCAGTTTCATAGAATCATAGAATCCCTACAGTGTGGAAACAGGCCCTTTGGTCCAACAAGTCCACACCGACCCTCAGAGCATCCCACCCAGACCCATTCCCCTTAACCCACTGAATCTATGCATCCCATAACACTACGGGCAATTTAGCATGGCTAATCCACCCAGCCTGCACATCTTTGGACTGTGGGAGGAAACCAGAGCACCTGGAGGAAACCCATGCAGATCCTTCCCTAAAGAACACTGGTGAACCAGATGGGATTTTCCAACAATTGACAATGGGTTTATGGTCATCTTTAGAATACTAATTCCAGACATTTTATTGAATTCGAATTCCACCATCTGCCATGGCGGGATTTGAACCTGGGTCCCCAGAAAGTTATCTGGGTCCCTGGATTAACAGTCCAGCAATAATACCACTAGGCCATTGCTGCCCCTGTGCCCTGTGTGTACAAGATGGTTCCTTTTCATATTGATCCAGAGAACTGGACATCCTAGACTGGGTATTGTACAATGAGAATGGGATTTATTCCCAATCTGGTTATGCAAGGCGTCTGAGGGGGGTGTGTGTGTTTGTGTACGCGTGTGTCTGCGTGCACATGAAAATGAGGAGGGGGGGGTGGAACAGCAAAAATAATATGATAGAATTTTTCATTAAAAAAGGTGGAGAGTGATGTACTTGATTCTGAGACTAGGGTCCTGAATCTAAATAATGTTACTATGCTGATAAGGCATGAGTTAGCTACGATAAATTGGTGAATATTTATTTAAGGGATGATAGTGGATAGACAATGGCAAACATTTAAAGAATGCATGGAGAAAATGCAACAATTGTTCATTCCTGTCTGACGCAAAAATAAATGGGAAAGGTGATTAACAAGAGAAATTAAAGAAATTACATTCAAGGAAAAGGCATACAAATTGGCCAGGAAAGGCAGTAAACCTGAGGATTGGGAGCAGTTTAGATTTCTGCAGAGGACAAAGAGATTGATTAAGTTGGGTGGGTAAAACAGTGTGCGAGTGAGCTTGCAGGAACAAACTTTGAAGCTTTTACAATCAGTCTATCAGTTTGTATGGGATGAGAAAAATGTTAGTGAAGACAAATGCAGATCACTTACAGTTAGAAACAGGGTAAGTTATGAGGAGGAACAAATATGGCAGACCAATTAAATGCATATTTCAGTTGTCTTTACTAACGGGCGACAAAAAAAATCCCATAAGTCTTCACAGGGTCTGGTAGTGGGAGGAACTGAAGGAAATCGGTATTAGTAGGGAAATGGCATTGGGAAACTTATGGGATCAAAGGTCAGTAAATGCCCAGAATTCGATAATCTACATTGCAGAATACTCAAGGAAGTGGGCCTAGAAATAATGATTGCATTGGTGATCATCTTTCAAGATTCTATAGACTCTTGAATAGTTCCTATGGATTTACTATTTAAAAAAAAACTGTTGAGAGAAACCAGGAAATTATAGACTGGTTAGCCTGACATTAATAGTACGGACAAAGCTGAAGTCAATTACAAAATATTTTAATAGCAGTGCACTTGGAAAACTGACAGAATTGGACAGCCACCATGGATTTCTGAAAGGAAAACCATGCTTGTTAAATCTACTGAATATTTTGAATGATGTAACTAGTAGAGTGGATAAATGTGAAGCCAGTGGATGCCATTTACTTGGACTTTCAGAAGCCATTCTGTAAGGTCCCACATAACAGATTAGAATATAAAATTAAAGTGCATGGAATTGGAGAAATGTACTGATTTAGATAGAGAATAAGTTGGCCATTAGGAAACAAAGCTGAAATAAGTAAGTTCCCCTCTTCTCCCCACCCTACCCACCCTGTGTGGCAGCCATTGTTTACAGGGGATTAGTATTCGGACACTAGCTTTTCACAATATCTATTCATGATTTAGAAGAGGGAACTAAGTGTGATATCTCCAAATTTGCAGATGACATAAAGCTTGATGGGAGGGTGAACTGTGGGGAGGATGCAGAGATGCTTCATTGCTATTTCAACAAGTGGAGTGAGTGATCAAATGCATGCATTTGAAGTATATTATGGATAAAATGTAAGGTTATTCACTTTGGTGGCCAAAACAGGAAGGCAGATTTAATAACTGAATGGTGACACTTTGGGAAAGGGGGAGGTACAACAAAACCCAAGTCCTCGTTCACCATTTGCTGAAAGTAAGCATGCATGTGCAGCATGTAGAGAAGAAGACAAATGGTACGTTGTCCTTTATAGTGAGATAATGTGAATACAGGAGAATGGGTGTGTTGCTGCCGTTGTACAGGGGCCTTGATGTGACCACATCTGGTGTAATGTATGCAGTTTTGATTTCCACATGTGAGGAAAGGATACTCTGGCTATGGAAGGATGGCAATGAAGGCTTACCAGACTTGTTCATGGCATAGCAAGACTGATGAAAGGAGAGTAGATTGGTTAGGACTCTATTCACTGGAGTGTAAGAACAATGAGGGATAATAGAAACCTATAAAATTCTAACAGGACTGGTCAGAGTAAAACACAGGAAGGATGGATGTTCCCAATGACTGGGGAATCCAGAACCAGAGATCACACTCTGGGAATACAGGGCAGGCCATTTTAGGACTGAGATAAGGAGAAATTTCTTCACCCAAAATGTGGAGAGCCTGCAGAATTTGCTACCACAGAAAACAGTTGAGGACAAAACATTGGATGTTTAAGGAAGGATTTAGATGTAATTCTTAGGTCTAAAGGGATCAAAGGGCATGGAAGAAAGCAGAAACAGGTATGAGTTGAATGATGAGCCATGATCATACTGAATAGCAGAGCAGGCTTGAATAGCCTACTTCTGCTCCTATTTCCTATTTGATTGTTAGGGAAATAATAAAATTAGAAAACCCGCAAATCAAATTTTGTATCAAAGCATGATGTACAAGTTGTTCAAATTTTCCTAATGAAAATGCCAAAGTAAGTATTCAAAAATACAAGAAAGAGGCCCCTGTCCTTTACAAAAAGGAAAATACAAACATTAATCATGTCAAAGGCCAAATCATTTACTAGAATAACAAATTACAGTGTAGTTAATGACAGGATGTGTTACAGAAAATGTTATGATGCCAGTGTTTTTATTTGATTGGATCATAAAATGAATAACAAGGTACATGTCAACGCTCTATCATCAATTCCAATGACACCTGTCAATTATCACTAAAATAAAATGTAAGTTGTTACTTATACATTTCGTAATTAGTAAGGGGATCAAAGGTTACATGGAGAAGGTAGGAGAATGGGGTTGAGAAACAATCACCCATGATTGAATGGCAGAGCAGACTCGGTAGGCCAAATGGTCTACTTCTGCTCCTACATCTGACGGTCCTGTAGTATTATAATGTGGGGAAAAAAAATCTATCCTATGAGCCATCACAGAGAAGTCAGGATTCTATTCTATTTTCTTATAAAAGTGCTATTGGCAGTTTGACCAAAAGTTTGCTTACAATGATACACTTTAGGATGTCATAAAAGGAAGATATGTACAGGAACTTGGGAAATAATTCCAAAATAAGTCTAGGAGGTTGAAGGCATAGCTACCAACACAGTATGTGAGTGTTTGCAGCCGTAGTTGTCTGCAGATAAATGGAAAGATTCATGCAGAGAAGAGGTTAAAAAGGGAAAGTACGAACAGAAGCCTGAAGACCTGGGTAAACATTTGAATTTTGAAACTCTGGGAATTAGGGGGTCAGCAAGTGTGGTAGAAACAGCATTAGAGTTTTCACTGAGCTAGAGCTTACACAGTGTGGAGGATTGGAAGCCAACAAGAACAGCACCTCAAGTTCTTTGCCCTTGAGAGATCCAACCCAAGGTGCCATAACCTCCATCATGGGCAGGGCAAGGATGCAGTTCCTTACTCCACACCACATGAAAAAGGGAATGAACTCTGTGTGGTTTGCACCAATGTAATCCCAATCCAAATAATCAAGGCACCACCAACTGAGCTCTCGCTGACAACGTACGGAACATGTAAGTTAGATGCATGAGTGGCCCATTCGGTTCCTATAGCCTTCTCTGCCATTCAATAAGATTACTGCTGATCGGATTGTAACCTCCGCTTTCTGCCGTTTCAACTCCTTGCTTCGCAAGAATCTATCTGCCTCTGCTTTAAAAATATTCAGACTCTGATACACTGCCTTTTCAGGAAGGAGGTACAAGGTCTCTCAACCTCAGGGGCGGAGGCTGACAACATTCTTTGGTCTTTCCAGTGTTTTGCTGGACAAAGTTAAATCCTGTTCATTGCAGCCAGACTAAACAAAAGCAGCAGCATCAGAGAGAGAGAGAGATAGAACTTGCTGTACGCTTGCTGTGCCTTGATACAGCACGTAGATGCGAATTGAACTTAAATTATAATTTAAATGTGGAAAAAGTGGACAGAACCAGTAATGATAGAGAAATCGCCATGTACCTGTTATGCGGGTCTGTTTCCTTCTCTTGGGTTCAGGGGTAAGTTGAGCTTTGAATTGCTCGCTTTGAGGCACTGGCAGCTCACAGCTTCTCCTGTCCACTGCAGGCTCCTGCACCCCACACGAGTGTTTCCCTATGCTGATAACACGGCTCCTGTAAAAAGCTGGAACATCGTGGCATTTCAATTCTTCCCATTCAAGGGTCCCTTCCGACGGAACTTCCCGACCGAAGTCATAGTTCCATTTTTGTCCGGCAGCTTCAATATTGGCCCGCAGTAAATGCTGAAAATCTTGCTGTAGCTGCTCGTGATCAACGGGGCCGAATAAGTTTCTCCGAACGTGGTCCACTTTGCTCTTTCGATGGAATTCCAGTTTCCCTTCTTCAGAATGTCCACCCACCATGGTGTCCCTGCATCAAAAAAGGCAATCTAACTCAGAACTGGTGCGTGTATCGCAAAAATAAAATAACGCCCCATATGTTACCCGTTCTTATTGCAGTCCATTTCAGAAATCCAAGTGAATGTCCAGTTATTGCACTGAACATTACTCCAAGAAATTCACTGCAAACTGAAAAGTTTGTATGGAACTTTCAACCTCAGTGTGTCAGAGCCCGAGTTTACAGTGAGAGAGATTTCACTGAAGTAATCTTGTTTATTTATAACGGATAAACCTGCACCTACAATGAACAAGGATCTTCTAGCTTTTTTTAAAAAGAAAGAAATCTCAAAGCGCCTTCAGTGCCAGTTGTTGTGTTGGGAGCAGTGTTCTGACTGGGCTCAGACACCTCCCCATGTCGCTGCTGCCTGTTGCCTCCTCCGAGCAGCATTTCCCCGCCAGCGGGTCAGTGGCGGGCGCTAAGTGCTATCAACTGAAGGTTGTGCAACAATCACATTCCACACAGACACACCGCAGCCAGCATTTCCCGTTACAAACACCAGCCCACAAGTGACGCACGAAGCGTTCCTCCCTGGGCTGACTTTTACAAAGAATCCTAGATGTGCCCAATTCAGGAGACACTGACATACAGAAGGGGTGTCTGTGAGAAGGGGCTGGCAGGGTAAGCCAGGCGATCGGTGACTGATAGGCTAAACACAAACAGACCCCCTAACCACACTTGACTGCAATGGAAACTCAAACTCCAAGCCCATTTGTCCTCTTCATTTGCTCATTATTGGACACGGCATTGATCACTCCACCGCTAAATGCAATGCTTCACGCCCGTCCGAAAGGGGCATCAGACATTCGCTGAAAGCAATTTATATCCTTCAGAAATCGCATCGGCGATTCTGACTCAAAAGACACCAAGTAAATGTGAACGACATTTAAAGTTCGCCTCAACGTTCATGAGGTTTCCCACCGAACTACGGTATTACTTTGTTGAACAGTTCTGTTTGTCGGTAAATCACAAGTATTTTTACAATAATGTCCACAGGCTCGGTGTTTGGGCTCGCAGAACTGGAACTGAAACCCAGCTGCCTCCGGCCAGCTCCGCATTTTCCATCCGAGCACATCATCGACACATCAGACTGGCGCTTCAATCCATTCTGCAGGCGGTAATAAATCATCAGCACACCGCCACTGTAAAATGTGCAGGACCAAATTGAGCGCAGAAGCACCACTTACATTTCTGGTCTACAGAAAGATATATCAGAGAGTGGAGAAAAAGCGATGAGGGAATGCACCGATAACGGAAAGATAAGGGTGAAATGAATTTGCATCTATAAACTGTGTCCCTTAATACATGCCCTTTTATTTTGGAAGTATATAATTGATGCGTTATTATGTTTAAAAAGCTCAACCCAGGTCAAAGAAACCCACTTGATTGGCACCCCATCCACCATTTTAAAGACCCTCCACATCACTGGATGAACACTTGCTCTGTCATAACACTCAAGGCTATGAGCCAAGTGCTGTAAAGTAGGATTAGTGTAGATAGGTCAGTACAGACTCCATGGGCCAACGGGTCTCTTCTGTGCTGAATTACTCTATGATTCTGATCACTGTGGCAATACAGTACACCACCTACCATTGTGACAGTGATATGCACCATCTACAAAATAGATTGCACAACTCATTAAAGCCTTCCCAACATCAGCTGGGAAGTAGCATCCTCTACCACGCAGAAGGACAAGGGGAGTAGGTGCATAGAAACATCATCATGTGCACAGTCCTCTCCAAGTCTCACACAATCCATTGCCATTCTTCCACTGTAGCTGCATCAAAAATCTTAGAGCTAATAGGAAGGGTGTACCTGGCCCAGCCAACATCCAGTGAAAGACTTTCTAGACTATAACTATTCTGTGAATGAATAAAACAACATGGCACACAATTTATGTGCGGAAGGATCTTAGAGACTGCAATGAAACAAATCAGTTTTTGTGTTGTTAGTTTAAAGATATATTTTGGCCAGAGCATTTGCAAAACTTGATTGATTTTCTTTGATTAGTGCTACGGCATCTTTAGTATTTAAAAAAAAATCTGTTTGGACATGTTATGAGACACCTCCATGGTAGGTAGGATGTGATTCTGGACATTCTAGACCAGAGGCAGGGAATCTACCGCATGACAAGACCCACCCACCCCCCTCCCCACCATTCAACCCAAGACAACATCCCAGCTAATAGAATTGCAGTATGTGACTTTCATCTGACAGTATTGATTTTTAATCAATCTGTGCAGATGTGTTTGAACATTTCTGGAGCAGGTGGGATTTAAATCTGGGCCTCCTGGCTCAGAGACAATGACACTACCACTACATCACAAGCGTCCCTATAGATCTGAGACAGCATCACATCTGAAAAACTTTGCAGTACACCCCCATGATCTTCGCCTGACAGTTTAAATTATGCGTTAAATCAATTTACCGAGGTAATCTGATGAAATCTAGGCTAGAATCATGTAGGAGCTGCCAAAGACAATGGAAGAGTTTCAATTTTGCCATTTTAAACATTACTGAAAATTTTATTTCAAACAGGTACTACTATTGACCAGGCAACTGGAAGTGCAACAGCACTGGTGGAGACTATGAGGTAGACGAATTACATGCTGTCAACATGAATAGATTCAATACTCCTAGACAATACCAGCAAAAACTCATGCATAAATAGTTACAGCAGACAGGGAATGGCACTTTGAGTTGCACTAAAGATGTGGCTATAGGAGAAGACTCAATTTGGGAAATTACATAGCTGAATTCTTTTGTCCCCACTGAGGCCAGGAAAGAGACAGAATGGGGATTGGAAAATGAGGATGAACTGGCATGCTGATTTCCCAGTGCTGTTCCAGGCTTTGGAAGAACTCTTTGCCACCACAAAGTGAGCAACCAGTTTGGTACACCAGGAGGCAGATTGCAATTAGGAGACAAGGGCAGTTTGCCTAGAGGCAGGCACCCAACATGAGGCTGAGGTGCTAGCATTCTATAAAAGCCTTCAGGCCCACCCCTGCCTGCTTAGGTGGGTATGCAGCAAAAAGGTTGCTCCCTAGAGGGACTTTCCCCCCTTAACAAAAATAAAACAGCCAGGCCTCCACTGTGTTGAACGTTTGTGGCCTAGAGGCACCTTCCTGTTGGAGAACCCCCTCTTTTATTTGTTCCTCATTGCAATATGAGTGCTCCTATGCAATAAGCTACACAAAATGGAAGGGATTATCACAAAGTCTTTGTCAAATGTATTTGGAAAGGCAAGGGCTGATTAGGGATAGTCAACATGGCTTTGGGCATGGAAACAGTAACTTGATTGAGTTTTTTGAAGAAATGACAAAGAAGACTGATGAAGGCAGAGAAGTGGACATTGTCTATATAGACTTCAGCATGGCATTCAACAAGGCTCCGCACGGTAGATTGGTTAGCAAGGTTAGATCACATGGAATCCAGGACAGCTAGCCATTTGGATACAAAATTGGCTTGAAGATAAGAGACAGATGGTGGCGGTGGAGGGTTGTTTTTCAGACTGGAAGCCTGTGACCAGAAGTGTGCCACAAGGATTGGTCCTGGGTCCACTGCTTTTTATCATTTATACAAATGATTTGGATGTGAATACAGGAGGAATGGTTCATAAGTTTGCAATTGACACCAAAATTGGTGGTGTACTGGTCAGTGAAGAAGGTTATCTCAGAGTACAATGCGACCTTGATCAGATGGGCCAATGGGTCAAGGAGTGGCAAATGGAGTTTAATTTAGGTAAATGTGAGATGGTGTATTTTGATAAGGCAAACTAGGGCAGCACTTATACACTTAATGGTAGGGTCCTGGCAGGTGTTGCTGAACAACAGGACCTTGGGGTGCAAGTTCATAATTCCTTGAAGGTGAAGTCACAGGTAGACATGGTAGTGATGAAGGCGTTTGGTATGCTTGCCTTTGTTGGTCAGTGCATTGAGTATAGGAGTTGGGAGGTCTGTTATGGTTGTATAGGACATTGATTAGGCCATATTTGGAATACTGCATTCAATTTTGGTCTCCCTGCTATAGGAAAGATATTGTTAATGGTACCAAAAAGATTTACAAAGATGTTGCCAGCGTTGGAGGGTTTAAGCTATAGGGAGAGGCTGAATAGGCTGGGGCTATTTTCCCTGGAGTATCTTAGGCTGAGGGATGACCTTATTGAGGTTTATAAAATCATGACGGGCATGCATAGAGTGAATAGCAAAGGTCTTTTTCACAGGGTAGGGGAGTCCAAAACTAGAGGATGTAGATCATAGAATCCCTACACTGTGGAAACAGGCCCTTTGGCCCAACAAGTCTACACCGACCCTCAGACATCCCACACAGACCATCCCTTATAACCCACCTAATTTACACATCCCTGAACACTACAGGCAATTTAGCATGGCCAATCCACCTAGCTTGCACATCTTTGGACTGTGGGAGGAAACCGAAGCACCCGGAGGAAACGCAGACACGAGGAGAATGTGCAAACTCCACACAGACAGTTGCCCGAGGGTGGAATTGAACCCGGGTTCCTGGCACTGTGAGGCAGCCTGCTAACCACTGAGCCACTGTGCTGCCCCGTGCTAGGTTTAAGCTAAGAGGGAAAAGATTTAAAAAGGAACCTAAGGGGCAACTTTTTCTCACAGAGGGTTGTGCATGTATGGAATGAGCTGCCAGAGGAAGTGATAGACACTGGCACAATTACACCATTTAAAAGGCATCTGGATGGATACATGAATAGGAAGGGTTTGGAGGGATATGGGCCAAATGCTGGCAAATGGGACTAAGTTAATTTGGGATATCTGGTCGGCAAGGATGAGTTGGACTGAAGGGTTTGTTTCCATGCTGTACATCTCTATGAATCTATACATGAACTTACAATATCACTACTCAGGCAGTATGAACAAAATGTACAGTAAATTACATAAGAGTGACTAAAGATAGATGGGAATGATAAGTACACTGTAAACTACACAAAGTCTAATGGTAATAAAATTAAGATCCCCATAAGATAATCTTTAGAACACAGAAGTGTTAACTGCAGAACTAACTGTATTAACAGATGACAACTAATGTTGGAACAATTTATACTGTATACCAATAATAGGGAGCTACACATGTAATGCATATGGCACATTCTTCCACGGCCCCATGCTACAAGCAGACTTGTATTTGCAGCTTAGCGGAAAATTGTAGATTCTGTCACATCGTGGGAATAGTGGGCAGAAAAATTGTAGGCGATGTTTCTGTGAATTTTTAGTGAGCCATTTGTCTTATTGGGCCTACAACTGCTTTCTTTCACTAGCCCTGAAATTCCTGAGGTATCTTCTAATATAATTCTCAAAGAAATGAAGTAAATGGCAGAAAATGGCCCATTTCTCTGACGATTACAAAAAGATATAGTGGGAGGTCAGGTGCAGAATTTCTGCATCAACAACAAACCATATTGGCTCCAAAGATCATTTACAATAGCATTAAGTTCCTGTTCACACCTTTGGAATGCTTGCTTATAATTGAAATCAATTACGAATATGAAATAGGAGTCACGCCCCTTGGGGTGATACTGAGTTGCAGCATAACCTTTCTGCTGAAAAGTCATCGACCTGAAACGTTAACTGTTTCTCTCTCCACAAATGCTGCCATAGCAGCTGAATATGCCAGAATTGTTTTTAGTGCAATATACTTCAAATTAACTTTGAAGGCTCCAAAGTGAACGTCCGCCAGTTTTTTTTCTGGGGGCGGAGACTTTTAATGTGATCAAAGTTAACAATCGCGTCAGATCTCATAAAAATGTAAGAATAACAGCATAAAGCCGTGGTCGCTGGAAATTTCAAATAAAAAAGACGCTTGAAGAAACTCAGCGAGTCTGGCAGCATCCGTGGACAGAGAGAAACGGAGTCAACGTTCGAGCGTAATATTACTCCTTTTGTGGCCCATGTAAAATGTAACTAATGTTTGGCTTCCCGTAAACGGCTGCAGACACACGTGTATCGTGTACAGCTCTGTTTCCCGGGCTAGTTCATATACACGCACTAGCGAGCGGCTGCCAGTTTCGGGTCTCCATCTGTCTTGAAACAATAATGTT